ATTAAAAGAATTAATTAAAATCTATTTTGTGGTCCCAATAGCTTAATTAAGGTTTTAACTTGATATTTGTATTGGCCATGACTTGTTTACTAGTATATATTAAATTGGGACTATCTGAAGTTGTTTTAGAACCTTGGGATTTAAATTGGCATGATTTAATTAAAGTTCTACTTTGTTGTTCTAACAACCTAATTGAGTTTTAGAATGGATATAGGTGATGACCTTGCCATGCCCTTTAACATGTTTTAAATTGGGGTTAATTGAAATTGAATCGGAAATCTAGAGAATTTAATTGTGTTTATCTATTTAAATTCTATCAATTTGCTCCATGATCTAGTTGTGTTTTAGAAGTGATTTCTATATTCAAATCATGGGCTTGAACTTGTTGTATATTCATTTGGTTATGTTTTGAACATTGGGTAACATAGTTGCTATGTTTGTATTCATGAGAATATGTTTTCCTTATTAAATATATTGTTGCCTTGTGTAATGATTTGCACACTTCGTGTTTAACATCTTTCATGCATAGCGTGTAACAAATCGCACACTGAAGATTCGACATTCATCATATCATATTAGTTGTGGATTTAGAGCATGTATTGTATAGGTTTCCAAATTTGGTTGTGTTTATTAGATAGTTGATTATCATGCATATTCCTGTTGATATATGCGTTGTTGCACAACTTGTTGATTTTGAAAACTTGGGGATGTCGTTGTTTGACTATGGCTAGGACGTGGTTCTAGTACGGGGGATAGTCCCTCTATATATAATCTAGTGCGCACATAGGGAGGTTACCCATGGGCTACTAATCCTAAAGTAACTATGTTGTCGGTCTGATTCGGCGTGACGTCCGAGTATCCACTTTGTTTGATTTCGCAGTTCATTTTCAAGTTGATAACTAGATGATGTTGTAACTTGTTGTTTCTTATTTGTCGTTCCATTTTAAGTTACAGGATGTTAACTTTGCGAAATTGTGCTTTATGCGTTGTATTGGAAGTTCCAATGTTGGTTAAATTGCATCGATATTGAAAATCGTGTTTTGACGTTCTAATAAAGTTTAGGATTGATCCTATTGATTCATTTATAACATTGACGTTCTAAGTTGATGGCTTTGAGAACTTAAACCTTGTTGCATTGTATAACATGCTCTTTTGTTGTTGAATTGCATGGATAATATGATTCTTGTTAACTTGTATTTAAATATGCTTTTGTTATGTTGTATGGATTACTCTAGACCTAGTTCAATTGTATTGAAAATGCAATTCATGTTAATATATGCTCAAGCATACTTCTTGTCGTGTTCTTTAGATTATCCCAAAGATGATTCGTTTCATACACGTATGTATATCATGATTCTTGTTGCTTAGACTCTAAGGTAGCTTAGGATGCTCCCCGAGTCTCACTTGGACATAGACGTTAGGTGGCATGAGCCACTTTAACATGTTTCACCTTAAGGTGATAAATTTGTAAAATGCTAGGTCGATGCATGCTCATCTCCTAAGAGTAGCTTTATGTTACTCACCCCTACGATAATGGGGCATATTTCAGGTACGAAGACTTGGTTCGTGAAGCCTAGCATTCCTTGGATGTCGAGTAGCTTTCAAGTTTCCATTTCATACAAATATTAGCATGAAATGTCATTTTGTAGACTTATATGTCAAAATATGTATGTTTGATTCATTGTATGTAGTGTGTACTTAAGTACACTCCTTTCAATGTATTTGATATGTATGAGATGAGGCCGGAGGCTAATGACGTATATATTGTATTTTATGCAACTTTTTAACTTCATGAAATGTTATGAAAAACTTGAAAAATCGCAAGTCATTCATTCACCACGGTTGCATCAGGTGTGGGAATTCCATTTTCATTCTTTTATAGGGTCTTATTAATCTTGTATGAAGTGTGGCCAAGGGCCAAACGGTCATTTGATCCCGTTTTGCATTTTTGGATTCCATGTTTTCCATTCCAAGTCCATTTTTGCCTTTTTGCCCGTTGGGGGGTCGGATTTTGCATCGACTATATTTTTAAGCCATGGACCATTGTAGCACGTCTAAATAGGTAAGTTACGTTTGCGTGCATAGTCGTTTCCGGGCAAAACCTCATCGTTTGTGTTTTGAGCCTCTTGTGAATTCATTTCGCATTTTTTTTTTTTGCCCTTTTCTGATCTAGGGGCATTCTGGGTACTTCATAGTGTTTATTTTTCATTTTCGTCCCCATGCTAGGTAGAAAACGTGATTTTAGGGGAGGTTTCTTCTTCATGTTTTTACAAAAAAAATCATCTTAATGTCGAAAACAACTCGCAGATCTGAAAAATCTGGTCGTTCCAGGTTTTTCTGGAAAAAGTGCTGATCTAAGGGGTATTTCAGGTATTTTACTTGTAAAATAAAATCTTCTCTTGACATGGTCATGTAGAAAACATGATTTGGAGGGGGGGGGGGGGGGGGGAAGGGGGTGGTTGTTCACAACTTTTTGCCAAAAAATGTGGTTTAAGCCCTCAAAACTACATTTGAAGTCCAAAAATCTGGGCAGGTCCTGCCCTGATTTGAACCTAGAAAATTATTTTTTTTGAAACTTTGAGGCTTCATATCTTCTTTGTCCCGACTCCAAATCAAGTGATTTTTGAGTCTAAGTTTATTAGTTTTTGCTGGTCTATATAACGGTATGCACGATTATATCAAATTATATCTTAAAAGATCATTTTACCCCTTGTAAAGTACCCTTGCCGCACTGATTTTAAACCCAAAAATTGGTTTTTATGAAACTTTGACGTTTCATGTCTTTTTCGTCCGGACTCCAAATCAAGTGATTCTTGAGTCTAGATTCATTAAATTTTCCCGGTCTATCTAACGGTATACTCAGTTGCATCCAATTTTGTCTAAAAATACCTTTTTACTCCTTGCGAAGTACCCTTGCTGCATTGATTTCAAACCCAAAAATGTGATTTTTATGAAACTTTGGAGTTTCATATTTTCCTCATCCGGACTCCGAATCAAGTGATTCTTGAGTCCATCTTGATTAGTTTTTCATTGTCCTTCCAGTGGTGTACTCGGTGGCACCCGAATCCACAATTTTTAGAAATGACTATTTTGCCCCTGGGGGCTTATTTGTCATATTTTTGGTCTTTTGCTTCCGCGTCAGTTCTCATTGAGTTCCACGACCTCATGGAAGGTCATTTTGACTTCTTAGATTCTTATTTTCTGTTTTTGCTTCCGCATATAGGATCCGTTATCGGGTCAATTTTCGGTTCATCACAGGTCACGCTGGCCTAAAAACCAGGGTCGTCACATACATATTTCATGGAAACCACTCACGATAAGGATACGTGAAGTCAAAAACCAACTCCGAGCTTGAAAAGTGAGATTGTGCCAAAAATTGACAAACGGAGATAAGACGAAATAGAGAAAAGGACGAAATAGCGCATAGTATCGAAAAACGAAAAATGTGAAAATGACTCAGTCCTCAAAGGAAGTTATCAATTCACATGAAAGAGTCTCAGAAACCAATTCCGAGCACTCGAGATGACACTAAGCGACAAGAAACAGAACTCAGAAAGGAAAATTAAACGAAAAAAATTCATTCGTAAAATTTCAGGAAAAAGGAAAGGAAGGCAAATGATCGGGTCGTTACAAAGTTCATTCTAACGCAAATTGCCAATAAAATGACTTAGAGGTACCTACAAGGCAACCACAGTTTTATATGATGTCAATATAAGAGGTTGATTTGAAATTTGTTTTAACTTGAAGGTGTATATTAGGTTGATTTGAAATTTGTTTATAAGTAGTATAATATTCAAAATATATCATCATTGTACTGATCAAAAAGAATGATTGTTCACACTTGTATAGATTTACAGCTTTATGTATGGTGGGTTGGATGCAATTATAAGTTTTCAAGTCAAGTTTTCAATTGAAGTTTTGACACTTGTCCAAATCATGATTTATACATGGTGTGATATGGATGAAAATGCCTTTGTGCAGGTGACAACCAAACAATGTAGGTTCAAATATTTAAATAGAAGTAATAGTGATAAATAACAAATTTCAATAAAAATTTCAATTCTTAAATTATTTCCCTCATGTCCTTTATTATTATTTTTAAATAATACCAATGATACAAATATTATAAACTTTGAAATATGAATATAATTTATAGAATTACAAAACTTGTCTAAATTTTAAGATTTAACTTCATTTCATAAATCTACTTTTGAAAATTGAATTTATACTAATATACATACTTGTGTTTTGCAATTTTTGTTGGTTGTTGAAGTACATTTTTACAAATTTTTAATATTATTTATATAATTTAATATTATTATAAATTGCTTCCTCGTCTTTAGGTTTAGGTTTTATGAAATGAAGTCGGTGCCTAAGTGGTATTAGTATGTATAATACTTATTACTTATAAAAAAAAAAAACGTAAGGTATGATGGTATGTGACTTTATATATATATATATATATATATATATATATGCTGGAGAAAGTAAATATATATGCTGGAGAAAGTAAAAATATAAGATATTGCTATATATTAATATTATATATATATATATATACATATATATATTTTATGGATTATCCACGTATTGTCACAGAGCGAATTCACGGATCAAATCGGATTGGATCGAATTTTTGACAATTTATCTATGAATTACGAATTCATTTTTTTTTAAATCCACCACTGAAATTTATAGGTATGATAATTCGATTCAATCTATACGAATCGAATCGAATCAAATTAGATTCGTAAATTTTCCGTCCACCCCTTCAATTGATGAAAACAATTATTTTGATTTACTTTTGGTGACAGGAACCCTCTGCCCAAGTAACTTTTGTTTCTCATTTAATTTTGTAGCTGCCAATGCCAAGATGTCCTTTTGTTACACAGGACATCAACTTAAAAAGTCAGCTTTCCGAAAAATAATGCATAAAATTTGTTCAGAATTCAAGGCAAGCATCACCACTCATTCATATATGTGTAACACCGACAGGAATATATCATTAATTTTGAAAATGTTTATTGCAAAGATGACTGGTGAGTCAACTTGAAGATGCTTATGAATACAAGTAGAGATTATTAGTGGGACAAAGTCAAATCTTGATTTTTTTTTTTTTTTTTTGGAACCAAACAGAGGAACTAGACATCAAAGAGAAGGAATTACATATCAGGGAAGAAGAGTATTTAACAACGATGAAGGTCATATGCTCCACTTTAAAAACATGTTTGTCCAATAAGAGAGTAACCATATTATCTCCACCAGGATAATCTTGATAGGCATAATAAGATTTGGTGCTTAGAACATTCAAATGTTGATAAGGACCTTGACACAGTCGGGCTGTTTCAATAGCTCAAATGCTTTGTTTATTTCATCCAGTGAAACTTCATGGGTCAATAGCTCATCTAAATTGATTTCCTGTAAAGAACACACAAAAATAAATAAAAAATCTCAAGAAGCATTACAACAATGATTTAATTAGAAAAGTACCTTATTTATACATTTGTCAAATATGGTTGGAAGATCTGATTGGATTTTGAGCCCGCCATAAATTGAACCCTTTAAAGTTCTGCCACATAATAGGGGGACAAAATTGATCATCCCTTTCTGTTGAAGTCCTGCACCAATTAATATGGACGTCCCAATTCCCTAATGTTGCACCACCACCATAAAATAATATAAATTAAATTAAATTAGCCTTAGTGATTAATGAAAAGCAGTTTGTATAAAACATGTTTACACATAGATACATACATATATATATATGTTGTTTCATTATAATTTGGAAGTTACAAATTCGCAACAGAAAATAGTATTTAATTAAGACTACATATATATTAACGAAGGAGGATCAGACAACCATAAAATTGCTTTATCATGGGATAAAGACCACTAGTTGTGAAGATAAAGCCATAAATATTTAGACATCACATATTTGAAACAGAGAATGGTCTTTTTAACTGTAGATAAGACTCCATACTTATGTGTGTGTGTGTGTGTGTATATATAGACGAAAGAGGATCAGACAATCATAAAGTTGCTTTTTATGATATGAAGATCACGGGTTGTGAACGTACATTAAACTGGATACTCGCTAGCCCTTTAGTGTGTGTGTATAGATATATATATCTATATATATATATATATATGTATGTATATATGCAGATAGATATATATATACCACTTTTGTAGCTTCAAGGGCCTCGTTGACTAATGTTGCGACTCCAGTACATTCGAAGCAGTAGTCAACACCTGTTCCTCCTGTAAACTCCTTAACCAATTCTGAGATAGGTTTATCAGAATCACTAGGGTTTATGAAATCAGTCATGCCGAAGGCCTCTCCTTTCTCCCGTTTTTTGTCATTTATGTCTATGCCAATTATTTTGGATGCCCCACGGTTTCTGGCTCCCTCTACCACCTGCACTTACTCGAACAAATTTAGACCAACACGGTGTGCATTGGGGTATAATTTGGATAGAAACAAAAAGAAATATAACGTTAAAGAGTTGTTATATAGAGTTTGTGAATCGTATCTATTAATTTATTATTTGAATAGTGAATGGCGTAATCATGATATCATTAAATATTATGTAAAGTCATCATGTTTAATAATGTCACAATGATATTATTCTCTCACATAAAATAACGGATGCACATTACTTACTACCCGCATAAAACAACACCATGCACACTCATTATTATTCTAAAGGTCAAGTATAAGAAAAAATAAATAAAAGATTGTGTCAACTCTCTCATATTTGAATAACTTAAAAGAAAAAGAAAATAAAGGGGTACTGGTAAATAAACCTTATTCATGCTTTGGGAGAGAAGAGGAGAGAAATGAAGTGATTGATTTTATTTTTGAAGTGATAAAATAAAAGAAAAAAATACTTCATATGAAAAATAAGGGCACAATGAGTAACCATATTTAGTCCTAAGGGGTTGGCTCCAATGATGATATCAATTTTCTAAAGATTACGATCGCAGAAATAGTTCGAGTTTTACTCAAGTGTGGAGGGATTGCTTTGTACCGGTTTCGTGAATTAGTCTAGGCAAAGCCCCGGACACCCGATTATCCCAAAAAAAAAAAAAAAAAAAAAAAAAAAAAAAAAAAAAAAAGAAGTAACCATATTTGCAAGAATTCAGAAAATCGTAACTCTTTTAATTAAATTTCCTCAAAACAGTTATTAAGTACTCAAAAAATAGAAAATTGTTTTTAAAAAGTTATAAACAATTTTTCTCGAAAACAAGCTTTTATATATTTTATTGTCACTAATTTTAAAAAATAGAGAGAGAAGAGATCATTAGCGTTCACAGAGAGAGAGAGAGAGAGAGAGAGTGTTTTAAAGCATTAGACTATTCTTCTTTTGGTCACATTCTTCTCCTCATTTCTGACCAATTCAACCCATCCCACTTTCTAATTTTCTTTCATTTTATTCCAATTTCTTGATATTCCAAAAGTAGCATAAAAATAAACCATTGTATAACCCAATTCAGAGCTGAAACTATAAAAGCAAATGAACACACAGAGTTAGTTATATATATATATATATATATATATATATATATATATATATATATATTTATATTTATATATTTATTTATACATACCCCTAGTCCAACAGCACCAAGACCCAAAATAGCCACAGAAGAACCCTTGTGAATTTTGGCTTCCTTCCAAGTTGCCCCAAATCCAGTTGCGAAGCCACAAGAGATAAAGCTAGCGTGTGGGAGTGATATCCTTGGATCAAGCTTGACAACATAGTTAGAATCAATAACTATGTACTCTGACCATGTGGAGCAGCTAAAAAAGTGGTACAATTTTTGGCCATTGATGGACATTCTTGATGTGCCATCAGGCATTAGACCACTGAAACCCAAAGGGTATGCCAAGCACAAATTTGACTTCCCTGACTTGCAATTCTCACATTTCCCACACTCCCCTATGTAGGTTGGCATCACAATGTCACCTTCTTTAAAACCTCTCACTCCTTCACCAACACTCTCTACCATCCTGTGTAAACAAATTCCATCTATTTTGTGAGTAAATATATATATATATATATATATATATATATATATATATATATATATATATATTTTCAAATGTATATAAAATGGGACATTTTAGGTATTTAAATTTTAAAATTTGAGTTCCAATTATTGAGAGAGAGAGAGAGAGAGATTACCCAGCACCTTCATGCCCAGGAACTCGTGGGAACAAAGGCTGTAAAAGTATTAAAAACAAAATCAGCAAACACTAAGCATACATTCAAGGATATTCATATATTTGACACTCTATTTTTCACCAATTACATTTCACTGAAATTATTTAATAAATAAAATAACAATTTTATTCATCAAAAGGTAGAGTATGTGAATACTTTAAAAATACTTGTAGTGTGTTTTTCTTGAATGACAATAATGTCATTTTTTATTTAAAAAAAAAAAATTTGGAATGCAGGAGGAAGGGTACTAACAACTGGAAGGCCATTGCAGCAAAGGATATCAGTGTGGCATAGACTTGCACACAGCATCTTAATCCTAATTTCTGATGATTTTGGAGGCTCCACTTGTATCTCTTCCACCTTCAAGGGTAGCCCCGCCCCCCACGACACCGCCGCTGCCACATCATTTCATCAATCAATATATATATATATATGCATGTTATTTTTTACTTAATGTAATTATTAAACTTTAGATTAGTTTTTATTGAATTACTCAAACAGTGTGATACTAAAATAAACATGGGTAGTCTTGTTTTTAGTAAAATGGATGAAGAAGTTGGCTGCAAAATCGCAAAATTAGTTTGAAAACCACTGCAAAATCGTAACATTAGGCTGAAGTATTGAGAAAATTAAGAAGAAATAGATTATCTTTCTGATTTTGGAGAGAGAAAGAGAGAGAATTTGATCCCAAGCAGAAAATTACTTGTGAATGACAAGCTATAACATGAATGGAATGAACCTCGGAGATAGAGGAGCTTATTTGCGTACCTTTGCATGTTATGACCTGTGAATTGGTCTTCGACATGGTTATACACTCCCAAGCTTTTGACAACAAGGAACAAAGTTGCTCTCTCTTTATCTCTCCAAGTGTGTGTACACACGCACACATATATATATATAGATATCATTACGTATAATTAAGGGTTTCTGAAATTTTTAGAAAAGAAGACAAAGGACTTTCTCTTTGTGTGTATCCACCACATAAATTTATTAATTTATGAAATGTGTAACGCGAACCGCGTGCTGGGTTTCTTTAATTGCAATAATACAACGACAACAACTGATGGATAATAAAAGCCCCTATCTGTTTTTACTGTTCCTCTCTCTCTCTCTCTCTCTCTCTCTCACACACACACACACGCACATTACATAAACAAAGTATAAGCCAAAATAATGTCCTGCTGTTGTGATTTATTATCAGTCCTTTCTTCCCTTGTCTCCATACAAATTAGTATGCGTATTTTTATTTTTCTTATTCAAAATTAGTATGTGTAGTTAACATTCACAATCAGATGCGTTGCAGTCCACTTCATACACTATATAATTCAAAATGAGTTTTCACAGTACAGTAACGCTTTGTCATATAGAGATACGTACATCTACAAGAATTGCTATTTCCAGAGCCATTTTGAATTATTGTGGGGGTCTAATTCACCCACTTTAATAAATTAAAATAAAAAATAAAACTTGTGTATGAATTGACATCCACATACAACTGTATTAGGGTGTGTGTGTATATAATATATACTTGTTAGGTTTTGCGTCTCAAATTCTATTTTATTTGAAAGTTATTTATATGACAACTTCTTGTAAGATAACTGTTGGCCGCTAGCAATAAATTGTAATCCTTGTTTAGCAAGTAATTGGGTGTGGGATTCTATAAATAGAAACCTAATGTATTGTCGAGAGATATGTAACTCATGAGGGGGTTGTGTGTGAGATGTGTAAAGGATATAATGGGTTTAGAGTGAACATTGAAAACGAGAGGGAGTCTTCGAGTATCTACCGTTGGGAGAATGAGTTTGTGTACATGTTCGACAGTGACGAACCCAAAAACTTTATCGAGAGGGAGTGCCATTGAAAGTTTTTCTTAATTTCGCCGGGGGGGGGGGGGGTGGGGGCGGCTGGTAATTCTCTATTATTAAAATTTATCCTCATCATTATAGTGAAATTTTCTCATCCGTGGACGTAGCCCTGATTTAGAGTGAAGTACATAGATTTTGTGTTGTGGTTTGTGATTAGTCTTCTTCTTATACGTGCTTATTGTTATAGTGAAATCTCCTCATTCGTGGACGTATTCTTTGTGAGACATAATTTTTATAATAGGCAAATTTGGATATCAAAACAAATCCGATTGAGTTGTACTTTCAAGTTCAAAATTCAAGATCGAGATCAGTTGCGGAATTGGAAAGTTGTTCAGGTTCAATATACTGAGATCTACGAAAAATGAAAGAATAATACGTTAGGAAAATGAGTTTTTAGGTTAGGACACTTTCCATACTTGGTATAAGTTTTCAAGCTTACCAAAACAGGTGTCATGTGATACCCCTATATTTTAAAGATATTATTTATTGGGATTAATGATTTTTATTTTTAATTTAAAATGATTTGTTTGATTTATTTGAGATTAATTGCTTTTATTTTTATTTTTAAATGATTTGTTTTAATTAATTGAGTATTATGATTTAATTGTCTTATTTGTAATGATCCGGATTTTCACGGAATTTTTTTTTTTTTCCGTTGTCTTTCCTTTTTGAGTTCAGTTCCTCTTCTTTTAGTGCCGTCTTGAGTGCTCTGGAGTGATTTCCGAAACTCTTTTCTGTGGATTGACAACTTCCTTTGAAGATCGAGTCGTTTCCGCATTTTTCGTTTTTCGATAGTATTCACTTTTCGTCATTTTCCCTATTTCGTCCTTTTTCCCTATTTTGTCTTTTCCCCGTTTGACACTTTGTTGTCGTAACCACACTTCTTGTTTTCGGAGTTGGTTTTTGACTTCATGTATCTCCATCTTGAGTGGTTTTCACGAAATACGTATCTTTACTTTTGCAAGAAAGTACTCTGGTTGCTCCCAATGTCCATAGGGGTTTGGATACAAAGTTCTTTGAAATTATTTTCTTTTCTTGGGGTGTTTTTAGTAAATATCTTTTGAAGATATTTTATTTTAGGAGTTTTTAAGAAAATATTTTTGGAAGATATTTTCATTCTAGGCCATAAGTGCAGTTTTTCACTTTTTGGAGGGGCCATTGTGCAATTAATAAAAGTTATTGCAAAATGTCTTATTTTGAGCCTGGATCCTCGTACGGGATTCATTTTCACATTCTGTCGAGTTGTGTAGTCTTGAAATTTCCTCCTGGTCGATGTTTTCCAGTTTCAGGGTTTTTGACCCCGGTTTGCGCCAAACTTGTTTTAGGCATAACTTTCTGCTCGGGACTCGGTTTTTGATGTTGTTTCTTCCGTTGTTCATGTTTTATCATTTTGAATCTTTTTTGTTCACAAAGTTTTGCCATTTGAGCGCGTCTGCTCAAATTTTACTTTTTCGGACCCAACGGGGCCCGTTCGGAGCACTTTTTGAGATTTCTATAAAAGGGGGGTGAGATATTTCATTTTTCATCTTCTCCCCTCTTCATGCACGACCTGAAGCTCCCATGGCAGCCCAAGGGGTGCTGCCATCTTCTCTCTCCTCTTTTGGTTCACTTTTCCTTGATGGAAAGTCTTCAGCCTTAACGTTTGTTGTTCCCCTCGCCGTGCTCTACCTTTCCCCCTTATTAGAATTCAGTTTTGACCATTTCTTGAGTTTGGTTTTGAGGTCAAGTTATGATTTTGATGGGGCTTTCATGGGGGTTATGTTCACGGCGTTGTCCCTGACAAAACCTAGTAGTTTCGTCAGATTCGGAGCCGTTCCATTTTAATTGCTTTTGAGATTTTCATCTCAAATTGAGGTAGGGAATGTTTTAGGCTTTTGTGTGTGTTGTATTGAGTGTTTAGCATGATTATACAACTTAATTGCATGCCTTGTATCAATTCTAGAAATTTTGTATTAATTATTTCTTTGTATGAAATTTAATTCACAAGGATGTGTATAACTTAGAGTGGAACTGTGGCATGTTAGAAAATCATGTTTTAATATATTTGTTAACATATATTAAATTGGGATTAATTGAATAAGAATTGCACTTTTTATTTAATATTTATCTTTGGTGAAAGATTAAATCCCATGGCCATACTTTTCATGAAATGAACTTGTAGTATGCTTTTAAATTAAGTCTTAGCATGTTTGTTAACATACTTTAATTTGAAAGTATTTGGACAAGTATGAAAATTTAGAGATTTTAAATTAAATGATTAATTAAAATCTATTTAATGGTTCCCTTGACCCAATTAAGTTTTTTTACTTGATAATCATGATGACTAGGACTTGTGTACTAGTATATATTAAATTAGGACCATTTGAAGTTGCTTTGAAATTTAGAAGTTTAATTATCATGATATAATTAAATTCTACCTTGTTGTGCCATTGGCCTAATTGAGATTTTAGTGAATGTATGTATATACTATGCTATATTGTATAATATGCATTGATTAGGAGGCCATTTGATTGAGATTTGAAATCTAGGGAATTTAATTAGTTTATAGATTAAATTCCGTTTCTATGGTATTATTGATTAACTCGTGTATTTGACATTGATAGTATGTTTAAAGCATGACTTTTGACTTATAATGAATTTATGAGTTTATATTTTCAATATTGGATTATATTGTTATAGCGTGTAACGAATCGCACTTTGAAGATTCGACATTGTCATCCTATAGTAGTTGTGGATTTAGAGCATGTGTTGTGTGGATACAATCTACTTGTGCATGGAAGGTGACTTAGTGCATTATATAAATTGCGTATAAGTTGTGAACTTATTTGATTATTTTGGAGTCTTGGGACATTGTTATTGTAATTTGGCTAAAGTTCAGTTTTAGTGCGGGAGGTATGAGTTCTCCCCAATTGAGATAGTGCGCACTAGGGTGGTCTTCCCAGCGGGTTAATACTCGGAATAACCAATTTGTTCTTAGTTTAGTCCGAGACGTGATATCCAAGTCTTCCACTATTTGTTTTCGCATTCAATTCCAAGTTATCAATTATGTTTATATTGTGACTGTGGTTTTGGCTATTGGCGATTTGATATTGTTAAGTACATCTATACTAAATTGCTATATTTAGTTGATTTAGCATTTAGATTTCAAGTTGATAACTTTGAGAATCTATATCTAGTTGCTTTGTGTAAGCATGTTTCTATCTGGTTGCTTTGTGTAAGCATGTTTCTAACTAGTTGCTTTGTGTAAGTATGTTATATCTTATTGCTATGTGTAGCATGCTCTTGTGTTGTTGAAATTGCATAAAAGATGTGTTTTATGCTAGAAATGATCTTAGGTAGCTAGGATGCTCACTGAGTCTCATCTTGAACATAGACGTTAGGTGGAATGAACCACAATGATTAAATCATGTACACTTGTAAAACGTAAGTCGATGCATGCTCATTTCCTACGAGTAGCTTTATGTTACTCATCCCTACGATACTGGAGCATATTTCAGGTACAGGATACAAGATTGGAGATTGTAATTGCTTGGGTGATTTGCTGAGATGAGCTTCTTTAGAAGCATTCTTGTTCACATGCAAGTGTTAGCATGTTCATGATTTATCTATGAAATGTAATTTTTCTAACTTGGAGGTTTGACATGTTAAATGTTGTAAATGTATTATAATGAGGCCATAGGCCATTGTAGCACATCTATTTTATCATATTACATACACTTGCATGCTCACTTTGGCAAACAATACCTTCCTTGATGAAACAAAAACCTAAAGTTGCATATTTTTGAGTTTTGACCCTATTCTGTTACAGGGGCATTTCGGGTATTTCACAATGAGTTTTTTTCATTTTTCCTCACGTGTCACGTAGAAAACTTGATTTTGAGGGGGGTTTTTTTTTGCATTTTTCCAGAAAACATCATCTTGGCCCTCAAAAATCCATATTTTTCCAGAAAATCCTTGCTGCCAGGTTTTGCAAATTTTTAGTACAAATGTAGTTGGTACTATTCATCGACTTTTTTTGGAAAATC